GGTGGCTGTTTGGTACTATTGGTGTTAATAAGTCGTTGTTTATGTTGAAAATAAATAATAACTCATTGAGAACTTTTGTGGAACTGATGAGTAGTATTAGTTCCCTTTTTCTTTAGGCTGAAATGGAGAGAATAAACTTGAATTTTGGAAAGTGGTGTTTAGTACCAGGCTGTATTGATAGGTCAATTTTTTGTGCTATTCAAGATTGGAGTGTTCTGAATTCTGAGGGAGACGAAGAATGCACATAATTTTGACAGTGGTCAGTTACTATTTGTCTTGAGATATGAGCAGTTGAATACTAGAGAAGAATCTCATTAAATAGACTTTGTTGTGATGGTGGTTCAGAATTCACATTAAGTATGGTTACACAACTATAAATTCTGGTAATTCATCTTGTGCGTCCAATTTGTTCAACCTGATATATATGGTTTATTTGCATCAACAAGTTAAATTGGAGAATATTAGATGTTGATTAGTACTAGTTTTGTTGTAGTTCTTGTTTTGATCTGTAGCATTGTTTATTCTTGATTTCAATAATCTGTCCTAGTATGTTGTTTATTGATTATTGCACTATTCTGTTGTTGTTGTTGTTATATGTTGATTAGAGCTATGAATTTAGTAGTCCTAGATGCGTTACACTTAGTGATACAAAGAGTAGAATTATTGAATCTGTGAAATTCAGTCTGTATACAGGATTAGTGTTTCCTGTAAGGACTTGGGGGGTCATTTGGTTTAAAAACAAGTTGGGAATTCTAATGTAGGGATTAGTAAATTGTAATGTAGACATTATTTTTTATCAGGTGTTTGGTCTATGTATTAAAAGTTGGATATACATTTTATCATTTACAATTATACCCTTGCCTTCTTAACAGAATAACAACATCATGTTGCCTGTAAAGAGCTTTATTTTGGTGAATGAATCTTTTAATACAAACATGTATAATTAAATGGAGACTCAGATATGGCGGAGGAACAATTAGCAAGTAAAGGGGAGGTCAAAAGAAAACCCAAATCACCAAAGCCACCACAATGTTCCTGTCCACCCGATTAAACACAAAAGCAATGAGATACAAACAACAAAACCAACTAAAGCAAACAAACACCCAATTGGTGCCCAAGATCATAATGGGTTGTTTGTTGAAGTAGAACAACGGGCAATAAAGATAGAAATGGGTTCTCTGCAGAGTTGAAGTGGAAGTATGTTATGAATGATGACTCACTGGACAGGGTTAGTTTAGTCTTTTAGGTGATTTATCCCTGTATAGCTAATACTAGGATTAGTTATTCCATGTTGCCTTCCGTATAAAGTTATACGGAGATTCCGGTATAAGAAATACAGTTATTATTTATACCATATGTGAAATGGTCAACCAAATATAGGACTAACTAATACAAAGTTTGTACTGTGATTATTTTCTGCAATACGTCAAACCAAACGCCCCCTTAATGTTCATACTTACACAAGTGAAATGGAGAGAATTAACTGAGATTTTGAAAGGTGATTGTTCAGTGACGAGCTGTGTTGTTAGATTGGATTGTTTATATCGTGATGGTTTGGAAGTATTAGCTGTGTAAGCTTGACAATGATGGGTCAGTTACAGTGGTTCGTCTTCAAGTAAGCAGTTGATTATAGATGAGCATCTCTTAAATATTGTTTGTTGCAGAGGTGGTTCAAAATTCATTTAAAAGCGTCATTTAAAGTTGTGATGTGGTTGAGCTGGTTAGAGGTAATTTGGAAGTGTGATGTCAACTTGGTTGATGAGAGTTCTTTTGTAATGGATGAGTTGTTGCAGTCAATTTTTTGGTGATGGAGAAATCAGTCACGAGCCAACCCTTTGGTCAACGTAGCTTTCGAAACTCAGGAATGATGGGCTCACTCTTTACTTTTCTCCACTCAAGTACTGGACTTAGTTTGTTTGACATAGGACTCAAACTAGTAAATTAAAATACAAGTCTCCCAACCCTTGCTAATTGAGCATAATCATCTTTTATTACACTTTTGAAATCTAAACCTGGGGATGTAATGGTTTATGGCCATCTGCTGTTAAAAGTTTGTACTTTGATATAATTATGAATGAATAACATTTGTTGGTGATAGATTCTGTTTTTGGTGAGTTGATTTCAAACTGCAATGTTGTATTTTCATTAAAATACATTTTTGCTAGGTCTTCTTGTCTACTAGAAGGACATAGATGTGACTTTTTGCTAGGTCTTCTTGTCTACTAGAACAGTGACATAGATGTGACTTAGCAAAGATGGCAATTCTTTAAGTGCTTCTAGATTATTTCATAGGTTTTTACTTCTACATATAATAATAGTGTATTGCCATGTCCTTAGCCTTCAACTAAGTGCACGTGTGACACTTGGCAACTCTCTCACAATCTTGCACAACTTACTCACGATCTTGCTATGCCAAATTTGCTAAAAAAAGCTAGTGTATTGTAGAGAACTTGATTATTTTTTTTCTTGGTGATTTACAAATGAATGCCCCCCACCCCATACACACACACTCACACACTCACACACCCTCCTCAATACTAGTAATATAGGAGCTAGTGGGTAAATAATAATTATTGTACAAGTCCCTCATATCTTCCAAGGACTTCCTAGCAAGTAGCAAATCCATTTGTTTGGTACTATTGGTAATAAGTCATTGTTTATGTTGAAAATAAATCGTACCTCATTGAGAACTTTTTGTGGAGCTGACGAGTATTAGTTCCTTTGTTCTTTAGGCTGAAAATGGAAGAAATGATACCTCGGATCATGTCTGTCACTGGAAATGTCGAATTTGCACGTTGCTTGCTTGATGGGAACTCATATCCCACAGGAAAAATTCTTCTTTGTACAGTAGCTATGAGAAAATTAGTTTGTCTCTCTCTAGAATCTGCTAGATGAAGACCTTCTTTTGACCGCATCGAAGCCTTTAGTTTTCCTTGCCTGATTCTATTAAGGTACACAAGATTGAATTCCAGTATGATAAAACATCCAAACAAGTAGATGTTCAAGTGCTTAAGGAAACACTTGGGGACCAATTGAATCAAACGTCAGTGAAGGTAAGTTCAAACTTTATACTTCACTGGATGAGTGTAGCTTTATGCATTTTCCCCATGTAGAATTTCCACTAATATACGACATGATTTATGATTGACCTCTTATAATCATTCCCAGTGATGGTTCCACATCAAATGAAGAGGACAGATCATCAATGTTCAAAAAAAATAAATGAGGAGGACAGATCACTATTCAGGCTCTGTTTTTTACCATAAATTTTGGTTCCAAAATTTGAAATACTACGTGGAGATCATTTTAATTAACTGTTTGTTTATCAAATTGGTCCAATAATTCAACTTCAAATTTGAAGTTTGAATTATACATTCTAGGAGTTTTTTCAAGTTTTCACTCACAGAACTTCAACTTTGTTTCCTTGTCCAAACACAACTTCAACTTCTAAATACCCTTTTTCAACTAGAAATGCTACTTTCTTTTCTTTTTCCAAATCTCAACCAGATCATGTTCAAAAGCCTACTTACTGTTTATTAGGGAACATACAGGTCAAACACTTTACATTTTTGTTCTTCTTAAATAATAGCTAGTGTAAAATGTTGTAATGAGATGAGTATATGGTTCATCTTTTTTCTGTCGTATATATTTGACAAGTAGATATCTGGCTATCTTAATTGGATATGTACTTTGAAATTAAAGGATTACAACTATCTCAAATTGGATATGTATCTTTTTGTTGGTTGGTTTTGTGACAATTTCACTTCTCTTTAAACAAAGAGCACAGTATTTAATTCATTATAATATTCTTTTATGCATTAATGATTTTATTTAAGAAGTTACTCCTTTTGCCCCATTTTATATGACAACGATCGATAGGACGCTAAACATATGATATTAATTTGACTTGTATACCATTTAAAGAATAAAGGGATGCATTGAAGCAATAGTAAGAAAGTATGTTAAGTTTTAAATTTGATTTGTTAAATAATTTTGAATTGTTAGAACTTATGGAAGTTATAATTTGAAACGAACCATAAATTTTGCCAAACATGTAGTGATGTCCCAAACTAAAAGATTATGATGGGCGGAGGCAGTAAATTGGACTGAATTATCTTCTTGCAGACAGTTTCTTTTGTTTATTATTATAATAAAAATAATAGTTTACATGTCTTTGGTTTATTGTGTTTCGATTATCACACTATTTGTTGATGTTACCGATCTTTCTTGTAAACTTTACACTGCCTTTCTTTTTTTTTGAGAAAGTTAACTGGTATTATAAACAAAAGGAAGTACACCAATAGTGTGCTCCTAAGTAGTTACATCAAAATATGAAGGGACATCCAAAACAAATCTATCACCTATATCCATTATAGACCATCTAAAAACAGAGTGATGTCCCCACTCCCCTATATCCTTAGGTACAGATTGAATACACCAAAAGTAGAATGTTGCTAGACAGTTCATCTTCATACTTTGGAAGGAAATGCTCTTGTTCTCAAAACATCTCTGATTTCTCTCCTTCCAAATTGTCCACCAGATGCATGCAGGGACAATCTTCCATCTCTCCTTGTGTCCTGATTGATTTCCATCCCTATTCCAGCATGCTAGAGCTTCTACAGTATGTCTTGGCATGGCCCATCTAATACCCCTGAGATTAATGAACCATTGCCATAATTTTTCAGTCACTTTACAGTGTAAAAAAAGATGGTTTACTGTCTCTGTTTCAGCTTCACAAAAAAAACATCTGGAGCATAACTGCCTTCCCCTTTTCATAAGGTTGTCCTGAGTCAGAACTGCTTGATGTGCAACTAGCCAGGTGAAACAAGCCACCTTATGAGGTATCTTCCCTTTCCAGATCATCTTCCATGGCCAACCTTCCTTGGTTTCAGTTGAGATATCCAGTAGCTTGTATGCTGATTTCACCTTGAACTTGCCATCTTTATCCATCTTCCACAACAATCTATCTTCCTCAAAATTCAAACTTAAGGCTCTTAGCTTGTTCCAAAGTATTGTAGAATTGGATCATTCTCTCCACTTCCCAGTCATTGAGGAATCTTCTGAAGGACAGATTCCAACCTTGTGCATTTTTGACCTGTGAGATTGTAGCTAGCTTCTGTTGATTAATAACTGCTATGCTTCTTCATTGTTTTTTTTTTTTTTTTGATTTGCACCGGGTGTCCAAGTCTCTTTGAGACCCGACTAATCCCGGGGGTGCACAGGCCCTCGGCAAGGAGTTTCCCGCAAGTGCACCACGGTTAATTCAGGTTTTACCCAGTCCGATGGCCCTCAGAAATTGTTTGCACCCAGTGGGTTTCGAACTTGAGACCTTGAAAGGGAGCAAACCCCAAGGCTCAAGTCAATTGCCAGCAGGCCAACCCAGTGGGTTTCTTCATTGTTTTCGTCCTCTTGTACTTAAGTTTGATGCACTAGAGCCGAGGGTCTATCGGAAACAACCTCTCTACCTCCTCGAGGTAGTGGTAAGGTCTACGTACACTCTACCCTCCCTAGGCTAACTTGGTGAGATTTCACTGCGTATGTTATTGTAGTTTACATGTCTCTCTTTCAAATTTTATTGGCACACATTTTCAACTAGTTAGAAATTGACATCGCGTCAACTTATAGATTCAATTGATTGGAGGGAGATGTTCTGCATTTTGTACAAACACCACTGAAATCTCCGTTATTTCAAGCTCTTAAATTGAGTGTAGTATTCCATTCTTGTGATATATCTCATACTCCAATATAACAGATCAACTAATTTGTTGAGAAGGAAATTTGTAGATAACAAAAACATGTTAATTTTGTAGATATTTGATTGTTAGGTACAGATCTATCTGTTATTCATACACTCAAGGAAGAAGATCTCAGTTATATATGTTTGAGTTCATTTTGCTTTTAGAGGACCTTAAAAAGCTAAAGAGTGACAAATGGGGGAGAGTTATTCATCCGAAGTCCCAAGGTGGCCTGGGAATTAGAAACTTGTCAATGCATAACAAAAACATGTTGATGAAAGGGCTATGCAGATATCACAAGTGGATCAAGCCTTGTGGAAAAAGGTTGTGAATGCCAAACATGGTACTAAGAATCACTGGAGCACCAAGGTTGTTAGTTCTCCATACGGTGTGGGTCCTTGGAAGTATACCAGCAAGTTAGGGGTGGGATTCTATCTCAATTGTAAGTTTTAAGGTGGGCAGTTGATTAAATGTTGGGTTCTGGAACATTACAAGCTGATTTTCCTAGTCTCTATGCAATAGCCACCAGCAAATCTTCAACCATCTCTCAAAATAGAGCTGACAATACCTGAAACCCTCAATTCAGAAGGAACTTCCAAGACTGGGAACTACAAGACCTTCTCAGCTTACTGGAGAGGCTAGGAGTTGTCCAAATCAGTGATCAATCACCTGACAGACTCATTTGGGGGGGATAAAGCGATTGATAAATATTTTGTCATTTGGGGGGATAAAGCGATTGATAAATATTTTGTGAAGGCAGCATACAATTCACTATGTGCTCAGAATGAAATGCTAGTTAATTGGCCATGGAAGTCAATCTGGAAAACCAAGTTATCCCCCAAGGTGATTTTTTTTAGCTGGCTAGCCCTTCATGAAGCCCCTCTCACCCTAGACAACCTCATTAGGAGAAAAATCTACATCAACAGATGCTTCTTGTGTCACCAGGCCCTAGAGACCAACAGACATCTTCTTCATTGTCCAGTAGCCACAGGAATATGGAACATGTTCATCTCAGTTTTTGGTCTAAAATGGGTTATGCCAAGTAGCTTTAAAGATGCACTGGTTAGCTGGAGCTCATGGAAGGTCGGAAAATCCGTCTATAGAGTATGGAAGATGATCCCCGCTTGCATTTTTTGATGTATGGAGAGAAAGAAACAATAGATGCTTTGAAGGCTCCTCTTCTTCAAGCTACATTCTTAAGTCTAGAGTTTTAACAACCTTCTGTAGCTGGAGCAATTTCTCCCCTGTCAATTCCCCTGAAACTTTTTTGGACTTTGTTAGCTCCTGAACTTTAGATATTAGCCTTTGTAATAGAGCTAACAATGTAAATTATGCATCTTCTTGATGCCTTCAGTGAAATCTTTTATCTGGTTTATGGCACAGTACTCATGTTGAAATTTGTTATTTGGTACAGTACCTTAATTACTTTGATGACCTTTGCATGAAATTTATTGAACATGTGCAATGCTTATTGGAGTGTTGGAATGAATTTAGGCCAACTTAAACAGTGAGTCAAATGGAGGTAAATCTACCTAAGGTCAGATCAGGAGCACTACAAAGATACGTATTGCTTGGACAAAGGGTGAGCACAGGTCAGTAACGATTGAGCTTTGTTCACTTCTTTTTTTTTGTGTTTTTTTTTGTAGCTTTGATCACTTCAGAACAATATTATGCTAGATGGCTTTTTGCCAAGTGTTAATGAGAAATTCGTGAGTACATATCTTCTGATAATCATTTATTTTAAACCAATATCATATTTCTGTCATCCTTCAGTTATGTTTAACTTGGCATTCCCTAGTTGTAACTAGGAAAATACTATAATAAATTGACTTACGGTTTGTGTATTTTGGGCAATGTAGAGTTTGAGACAGAAAGATTGGGCTGCTTCTTTGTTCTGGCATGGTTGGAGTTGCGAGAACGTTCATCACGAAGGTTAGAGTTGCCAATGCATCTGCGAACTTATTTTTTTCTCAGTAGTGGAGAAAAAACTTATTTTTTTGTTGAAAAGGCGCTTACTATACATGGCGACACAAGTATGCCAGTAAGACCAGTTTCGATATCCTTATTATGCAATCGAGACAGAGATCTCAAACATCGTAGACAAAGTATTTTTCTTATATTATATGAGGGGGGGGGGGGGGGATATGTTGTGTTCTTGAACTGATAATTCATCAATAATTGCACACAATTTTAATAGAGGGACAACCAGTTTTTAGACCATTGAATGATTTTTGCATTCTAGCTAGTAGTTCTTTGGAATAGAGGCCACTCGCCCTATCATTCTGTGTCTCAACTGGTTCTTATTTTGTTAAAAACCTTTTGGGTGGCCCAACGGTTTGGGTTTGGGACTTCCATGTTGGAGGTCTCCAGTTTGAAATCCCTTGCCAGCGAAAGCAAGTTTGTCTTCTGGGTCGAGCTCGTCACAACATGTTTGCTTAGTGCGGGCCACCTCTCCTATGTGGTTTGCGAGCTATTGTATAAGCCCAATGTCGTATGTGACTTGTTTAAGATAACAAGATTCAAAGTGCACCAAGACTCTAATATTTTTGTTTCTTAAAATTTTGTGTCTAGTTTAACTAAGATACTTACATTGCATCGATAAAAATAACTATTATATGTAATTTCCTAGATAATAAAATAGGACCACCCTAGCCTCAAGCAAAATAGTTGGTTTGAAAATGAAATGTCCATTCAACTAGTGTATAAGGTAGACATCAATTTAGTATTTATCAAACAAAACTACCATATCCTCTTTGTTTAACATCAATGACTAGTTAAGGACCATTTAGGGGCCCAACCTCACCAAATGTGGCCTTAGGTCAATATCAAAATTAAATTTTTATGTCTAGGCAATTTCTTACATGAGCTTTAAAGTCACTATTTGGTACTAGTAATCCATTAAACAAAACAGTACAATGTGATGTATATGTTGTTTGCTGTTTATCTTCAAGTTCTTTCTTCATAATCCCACTTGCCCTATCTTCAAGTTCAAAGATAATGTCACCAAGTGTGGCAAGCTCTTGCAAGAAGACAACACATCAATAAATTATGCTAACCCGTGTTCTCCAAACTTAGCTAGATAGTCTCTTACTGTTAAAGCTTATCAAACGACATAGGTTTTTTTTCCTTTCAATTATTCCTATCGATATCAAAACAAATCATAATGATTGTTTTTAGTCATGAGTTTCTGCCAACAGAGTCGGTTAACTAATATCGCAAATTAGCCGACTAACATACACAGAAAATGTTTAAAAATTTGAATTTCTATTTCGTGACACTGAAATGCTAAAAAAAAGACAAAGTTCCCTATTTTAAAAAAAGACGTCATTAATGAAAATGCAATGAGTATTGGTCACTAGGTCTATAGACCTGGTCTGGCCAAGTTTAAGGGCCATTGAAGTCGGTCGACTAATTTTTATAAAATAAATCAATGGACTAACATACATGAAAAATATTTAAAATCTTGAATTCTTATTATATGACATCGAAATGCTAAGTAAAGAGAAGCCATTACTGAAAATGCAAGAAGGTACTAGTCATCAGGATTGTGAGGCCCATCCTGGCTAAGTTTGGTGGGAGTCTGTCGAAAATTTTCAAAAAATCAATAGACTAACACACAAGAAAAATACTTAAAATCTTGAATTCTTATTATGTGATACAAAAATGATTTAAAAAGAGACGTCATTAATAAGAATGCAATGAGTACTTATCACCAAACTTGTGACGCCCGATTGAGCCGTGTTCAAGGGCCAGCAACGTCGATTGATTAATTTTCAAAATATTATAGACTAATATACACGAAAAATACTTAAAAAATTTAAATTCCTATTATGTGAAAGAAATGGTTAAATGGTTAAAAAAGAGATGTCCTAAATGCAAATGAAACGAGTACTAGTCACCAGGCTTGTGAGATCAAACCTGGCCAAATTGGCAGGCCAACAAATTCAGTCGACTTATTTTTGAACAATCAGTGAATTTCAAAAGATTTGCAAAAGAAGGTGTCAGAAATTCATAAAATTCATGTACTAACACACAACGAAAATTGAGAAAATCGTCCAAGAGTGGCCCATACATGCTAAAAAGTGGTGTGAATCATGGTGAGGCTATAGGTATTATTCTCCCCAGGTCATTACGGGGGAACCTATAAAGTTTTCGCAAAAAAAGTGTCTTAAATTCATATCACAAAAATATTTAAGTACACAGAAATATGAGAAAAAACGCTTAATTTTTGTTGAGTGACCCCTAAATGTCAACAAAATAACGTGAATCATAGTGAGAATATAGATATTGTTCCCTCAGGTCATTACATAGAGTCTTGTTATTTTTTTTGCATAAAATGTAGCTGAAATTTGTGTTACCAAAAAATTCATGTATTAACTCACATGAAAAACTGAGAAAATCTCTTAATTTCTATTGAATTGCCCCAAAATGCTAAAAAAAAAGTGGTGTGAATGATGATGAGGAAATAGGTGTTGTTTCCCTAGATCATTAGAAAGGGTCATGTAAAGTTTCTGCAAATAAAAAAATGTCTGAAATTTGTATCACCAAAAAATTCATATACTAACACACTAAAAATTGAAAAAATCGCTTATTTTTTGTTGAGTGAATACTAAATGCTGAAAAAGTGGCATGACTCATGGTGAGACTATACGTATTGTTCCCCAGGTCATTACGGAGGATCGTGTAAAGATTTTACAAAAAAGTGTCTGAAATTCATATCACCAAAAAATTCATGTTATAACACACACGAAAAAGTTAGAAAATCGCAAAATTCATGTTGAGTGGCCTCTAAATGTTAAAAATATGGTGTAAATCATGGTGAGACTATAAGTATTGTTACTGAAGGTCTTTATGGAGGGTCCTCCAAAGTTTTTGCAAAGAAAGTGTTTGAATACTATATCATCAAAAAAATCATGTACTAACACATAAAAAACTGAGAAAATCGCCTAAATTCTGTTGAGTGACCCTTAAATGCTAAAAAGGTGGCGTGAATCATGGTGAGGCTATAGGTATGGTTCCCCTATTTCATTACTGAAGGTTCTGTAAAGTTTTTTTTTTTTAAAAAAGTGTTTGAAAAATTTCATATCACCTAAAAATTATGTACTAACACACAAAAAACTTAAAAAAATTGCCTAATTTGTGTTGAGTATCCCCTAAATGCTTAAAATTTGGTGTGAATCCTGGTGACGCTATAGGTATTGTTCCCCCATGTATTTACGGAGGGTTTTATAAAGTTTTTACAAAACAAAGTGCCTGGAATCTATATCACCAAAAAATTAATGTACTAATACACATGTAAAACTGAAAAATCACTTAATTCATGTTGAGTAACCCCTAGATGCTAAAAAGTGGCGTTAATCATGGTGATGGTATAGCTATTGTTCCCCCAGGCTATTACGGAGGGTCTTGTAAAGTTCTTACAAAACAAGTGCTCGAAAATCATATCACCAAAAATTTCATGTACTAATGCACATGAAAAACTTAAAAAATCACATAATTTCTGTTGAGTGGCCCCTAATGCTAAAAAGTGGCATGAATCATGATTAGGCTATGGAATTGTTTCCCGAGATCATTACAGAGGGTCCTGTAAAGTTTTTGCAAAAAAAAGTATTGAAATACATAACATCAAAAAATTCATGTACGTTATACACGGAAAATTGAGAAAACATCTTAATCCTTTTGAGTGGCCCCTAATGCTAAAAAGTGGCATGAATCATGATTAGGCTATGGAATTGTTTCCCGAGATCATTACAGAGGGTCCTGTAAAGTTTTTGCAAAAAAAAGTATTGAAATACATAACATCAAAAAATTCATGTACGTTATACACGGAAAATTGAGAAAAACATCTTAATCCTTTTGAGTGGCCCCTAAATGCTAAAAAAATGATGTGTATAATGGTGATCGTAAAGGTATTGTTTCCCAAGTCATTATAGAAAGTCCTATAATGTTTTTGCAAAAAACAATGTCTGATGTCTATATCACCAAAAAATTGATGTACTAACACACATGAAAAATTGAGTGAATTGTGTAATTCTTTTGAGTGACCCCTAAAAATGTGGTGTGAATCATGGTGAGGCTATATGTATTATTCCTTAGATCATTACAGAGGCCCGTGTAAAGTTTTTGCCAAAAAAGCATCCGAAATTCATATCGCAAAAAAAATGTATGTATTAACACACATGAAAAATTGAGAAAATCACCTAATTCCTGTTGAGTGGCCCTAAATGCTAAAAATGTGGTGTGAATCATGGTTAGGCTATAGGTATTATTCTCCGAGGTCATTACGGAGGGTCCTGTAAAAATTTTGCAATTTTTTTTTCTGAAATTCATGTCACCAAAAAGTGCATGCATTAACACAGAAAATAAAAAAAGTCGCCTAATTTATATTGAGTGGCCCATAAATGCTAAAAAAAAGTGGTGGGTATCATGATAAGGTTATTTGTATTGTTCCTTAGATCATTACGGAGACTCCTGTATAAAATTTTCCAAAAAAGTGTCTGAAATTTATATCACCAAAAAATTCATGTACTAACACACATGAAAATTTGAGAAAATCGTCTAATTCTTGTTGAATTACCCTAAATGCTAAAAATGTGCGTGAATCATGGTTAGGCAATATGTATTGTTCTCTGAGGTCATTATAAAGGGTCCTGTAAAATTTTCGGAAAAAGTTTCTGAAATCCATATCACCAAATAGCTTAACACACAGAAAATAAAAAATAATTGCTTAATTTATGTTGAATGGCTCAAAATTGGAGTGAATCATGATAAGACTATTATTATTGTCCCCTGGATTATTACAGAGGGTTCTATAAAAGTTTTGGAAAAAAAAGTGTATGAAATTCATATCACAAAAAAATTCATGTACTAACACTAACGGAAAACTAAGAAAATCACATAATTCCTATTGAGTGAACTTTAAATACTAAAAAAGTGGTGTGAATCATGGTGAGGATATAGTTATTGTTCTCTAGGTCATTATGGAGGGTCTTGTAAAGTTTTTTGCAAAAAGAGTGACTCCGTATCACTAAATAAAATCATGTACTAACACACGGAAAACTGAGAAAATCGTCTTATTCTTGTTGAGTAGCCCCTAAATGCTAAAAATGTGGCGTGAATCATGGTGTGGCTATAGATATTGTTCCCTCTAGTTATTA